TTAAATTTAATTATTTGCTGACACAATTTTCTTCCTTAATCCATGAAACTTTATTCAAAAAGAAAAACTGTGGGAAGATAACAGTGATGATTTGACTGATGCCTAGAGAAGTTTTAGTCAGGTTTCTAAGGGAGGAAAAATGTTCTACTAAACAAAAGGCAGCTAGAGACAGTCCTGCTTCCTCCTTGGCTGCAGACCTTGTACTCACACAGGAAGCAGGAGAATTCTATTAGTATTTTTCTTCTCAGGAGAGTATCCAGATCAAAAAATTACTGCTGTGATGCTCATTTTTGAGCTCCTTCACTAGTGTTTTGGCCACTTTGAACAGATTGACAGAGAGAAAATGACCTGGTCTGTGGCTGAGCACCCTGGAACTACCTTGCAATACTTGTACTAATACTAGTATTAGTACTAGTACTAGTACTAATACTAATACAAACAGTTGTAGTAGTTTTATAAGCTCATTTAGGTCAAAGTGAACACTTGCACCACAAAGAATAAAGACAGTCACTTAGGTGGTTAAAGTGATCAAGTAAGTTTAGAAGCCAGATTATCCATACTGTTGGAGAGGGCCCTGAACAGGCTGGTTGCAGAGGGATGGTCTCTCCTTTCAAAACTGCAGAGGTAATCGCATTGGGGTAGAAAGGGAAAGGTTTTGACCTGCAAGTTTTCCAAGAAGAAAACAGTTTCTTCCCAGCTCTAGTTAAAATTTAATCCATCTGCTCAAAGAATTACCAAATTGTATCAAGAAACTTGATACCTGATCCTATCTGATTATTTTGCTGTTCAGCTCTTGGCTAAATTTCAAGTCTGCATTTACATCCTGCTTTCTCAAACAATTCCTATAGATTCATTCAGGATATAGTACATTTTTTTACCTTCCACTGCCAGGAAGTACCAATATAGATCACCAGGCATTTCTTGTGGCTGCAGTTCACTGCCATGGAGAGAAATAGATGTGTCATTTGTAAACTACCTGAACATCCTTTGAGGTAAAAAGCATAGTGTGAATCAAAAATATTTATTATTATTGCTGTAAAAAGACCACAGTTTACATGACAACTTTTGATTTGGCAGCCCATAAAACAGCAGTTACTTTGATATATTGCCTTTACTTTCCTATTTGTAGAAGAGTTTGCATGCTTTGAGGAAATCTATTTTAACCAACGATCATCTCAAATTAAACCAAATACCCATCTGTCAGGAAAATCCACAAACACCAGAGATTTATGTCCAAAAAGGAGACAGAGGAATCCTTCAACTTTATTCAAATAAAGGGAGAGAGTTCACTGGGGCAAACACCCACGGGGTTTTCCCTCTCTCACTCGGGGTTTCAGAGGGTGCAGCCTCCCTTTTATCCTAACTCTCAGCTGTGTAATGCCCTCTTCCTTTCCCCATGGTCTGAGGTACTAGGAAGGTACAGCCTTCTCAAAGTGTCTACCACATTTTCTCCCTTGAACTTACCATTTTATCCCAAGGTTCAGAAGTTCAGGCTTGTGCAGACCCTTGTCTCTTTTAGGAGCCATACTATCTGGGCCTGGTAACAAACTTGCTGCCCAAAGTCAGTATAGACCTTAAGAGCCATTTTAAAGATGTTAACACCCATACCTTCACCTATCAAATTATTTGTAAAGACATTAACACACATTTTTCCTATCACATCCAAATCTTCAAAATACCTGCTAGAAAAAGTGGTGGGGAAAAAAAGACACCTATAACAAATAGGAGACACTTCCTAACTCCATCCAGTGTTTTTCTTCCCTTCAGTATGAAAAGGCATACTATTTATGTAAGTTTTCATCAGCAAGACTGAAAGATTTTTAATTGCAGTTTATATTTTAAAATAATCAGTTTTATGGAGAAATACCTCTTTGTATTAACTAAAGGCATAATTTGTTCTTTCAGTCTTGTATCCCCTGGCTCATGCAGTGTGAGAAATGGAAAATGCGAGCATTAAATAAAATCCCAGTTCCACAAATGTCGTGGGTAAAATTCCCACTCAGTTCAACAGGGCTGAAGTTCTGTCTTCCTGGTTTTTCATTTCTGTGCTCCTCTTTACTTAGCTCCTAACACAAGAAAATTTCACAGGAGCAATGATAAATTTAGGTCTCAGGTAGCCATATGACTTTTTTTACTGCCAGTCATTAAAGTTATCAGAATTAGGATCTTGGAATTTTTATCTTTTCAGAAATGTCTCTGGTATCTTAAACACTAGATAACTTGACTTTTAATACTAAGAAAAAACAAATACAGCCATCCTGGCTAAGACCAAAGGCCCACTGAAAACAGTGCTCTATATCAAGCTCTATATCGTATCTCCATCGGTGCCCAAAAGTAAATGCTTAAAAAATTGTAAAGATGTTAAAAAATCACCAAGAACAAGGCAGACTGTGGTGACACTCAGTATCTGATCACCACCAGTTTGGGTACCTCATGGACTGTCTGTATATTCTGTGTTCATAAACAGTCCAAAGTTTTTTGTTCAATCAGCTTAAACTTCAGCACCCTCAGCAGCCCCCATCAGAGGTTTACAGCTTAACTAAATACTGCATGGACACTTCCTACTATTGCTTGTTTTGAATCTCTTTTCTTTCTCACTACCTGTTTGCTCTTTAGCCTAATACTCAGTATCAATTCTGAAGCCTTCTGGCTGTGAATCCAAAGGTGAGGAGTGATCACATGGGTGGCAGAGGCACCCCCAGCATGCTGGATTTCTGGTGGTAAGGAACCCCTGAGACAGTGGATTCCAGCGAGAGAGACCACAGAAGGATCAGGGAGCTGCTGCCTTTGAAAATATTGATTCCACCACTGAATTTCCACAAACTTCAATTGAATAATTTTTGCAAGCATGTATTTTTCAGAGATGTTTTAGAGGGCTGTCTCACCACTAGTATTAATGTCACCTGAAAACATTTAATATCCCAAAGAAGAGTTATACAGCTGGGCGTGATGTTCTAAAAATTGATAAATCTTTTAAGAAAATTTCTAACTTCAGAAAAGAAATTCAGCTGTAATTGCTTGAGCTGTTTGGTGTATTTCTCACAATCAGCAATGAACTTGGGTATTGCAGGCTGTTTCTGCAGAGATGCTCTTCTTTCCTGAAAGCTTCTACTGTTTCCTAGAAGCACTCCACCTGCATGTTGTGATGATACTATCAGAGATTGTCATTGTTGGGAGTATTCACCACATATAAGTTATTTTTAGGCATGGCAGCCAGAAGGCAATATGACTTTTTAATAAAAGCTGGTTGACACCAGCTGTTCTGATGTTTTGTGCTTGCTTCAGACTTTACCATTTTCTCTCTTACCACAAGCTGAAAAAAGGAATAATCTTCAGTTTGCTGGAGTATTTTCTTGGTTTATGCTACTTTATACTTCCCAATAAACACATGTTTTGTGCTGTTTAAAGTGACTTCACACCATGGGTAAAAATCCAAATGCATCCAGTAAATACCAGGCACAGGATAGGGAAAAAAACAATGCACTGTTATTTTGAACTTGGACTTAATTATTTCAAGCAGCTCTGCAACTCAGAGAAAGAGCATTACTGATTTTAGAAACACAGGAGGAATCTACACCATCTAGTTTCAGGCACTTGGCTGAGTTGCCTAAATGAGGAACACTGTGACTCCCACTGCAGTGAGCAGGGAGTCCCAATGGTGAGTTGGAGCTCCTATTTAGAGAATGCCTTTCTCAAATACCCAGAGAGAGTGAAGCATCTGAGAGCTGGAAGAGGTAGTTTTGTGGAGAGGCTTAAGCTGAGCATCAGCATCATCAGGATCATCAGCAATAACTCACACTTTCTTCAGCTGGCTGCCAACAGTAACTTTGTAAATCTGATCCTCTTCAAACTAGATGAAATTTGCAGTGATGCCCATCTTTTGTCCTGTGTCCAGTAAAAATGCAATATCAGCAGCTACTATAATCATATAGCTTTCCAGTGCAACTTGCAATCAGGAAAAACAAAGTGGTGAAGGACTTGGTCTGGACATTTGCAAAGGTAAACAGTGGGAAAGAAGCTCTAGCAGGAAAAGAGAACATGAAGGCCTTAAAGATCTTCATAAATACACTTATTCCTATGTATTTCCTTCAAACACTAACTTGCAGTCCCTAGTACCATGAAGGCCAAAAACAGCTCTGTCTCCAGGTATAGCTTCATTTTCTAAATGAAAAATTTTCTCTTTGTTTAGGGGGGAAGGAGGAAGGTTTTAAAAAATAATAGTTTCAACAGCAAAACAACTTTAATGCTCTAATTCCAGTCTTGTCTAAACAGTGCTGGTTGACCAGATTTCATTTGTCTTTATTCATTTCATTTTATTTCTCTGGTCTTGTTCAGTTATACTACTTAAGTATGATTCTCCAGTGTAATGTGATTCTCTGTATTACAGCAAGCAGCTGTTGAAAGCAAGTCAACCAAAATCAGAACAAATAAAACTTACACCATTACTCAGAAAAATAAAACTTGAGGTAACAGTGTTAAAAATAGGATGCAAAAGAATTAACACTACAGTTTTGTCATATGCATGTGGTAAAGACAGACTTCTGCTTCCAACATTATTCGTGGACTATACCATAATTAAAGCGATACTGAAAGATTCCCTTTCTATCTTGCCAGAGAGATTTCTGATCCTCATGGTACTTGCACCATGCTTACTTTGTTTGTGGTTTTGCCTTCATTCCTTCTGGCTAGTCCTCTTGAAAAGTCACCACACAGTGGAACAGCAGTGACCAGTTAGTCATTGCATCCCATTTGATTCCCCAGTCAGTATCATTCTCCCTGATGTTTTGGGCTGCAGCTAGTCATGCTGGTTTTGACTGGTGCAGAGTTAATTCTCTTCACAGTAGCTAGTACTGGGCTGTGTTTCAAATTTGTGCTGGTAATACACAGATTATACTGTTATAAAATACACAGATGTTTTAATCACTGCTGACGAGTGCTGACACAGCCTTTTCTATTTCACATGCTGCCATACTGGCAAAGGGACTGGGGATGCCTGGGAAGTTGGCAAAATACACAGCCAGGAGAGCTGACCCCAACTGACCAAAGGGGCAGTCCATACCATATGGCATCATGCTTAGTATATAAAGTGGTGGGGAAGAAGGAGGAAGCAGGGAACATCTGGCATTATGACATTTGTCTTCCAGTTCAACTAACCATTATGTGTGATGGAGCCCTGCTTTCCTGAGAATAGCTGCACACTTACCTCCCCATAACTAGAAGTGGTAAATTAATTCCTTGTTTTGCTTTGCTTGTGTGCATGGCTTTTCCTTTACCTATTAAACTTTGTCTCAACCCAGAAGTTTTCTCATTTTCTTCCAATTCTCTCACCCATCCCACTGGTGGAGGAATAAGTGACCAGCTACATTTAACTGGGGCTAAACCACAACAGCAGTTAAATTTTGAAAAAAAACTTCCTTTCCAATTCACACATTATACCACTACTTTGTGTTCTCTAACTCAACCTTGATTTTTTCTATTCTTCTGCCCTCCCTATTCTACAATTTTAGTTCTAAATATATTCCATTTTACTAAAGGAATTCACAGACATGATTTATCTAGGATGTGAAAATCTTGCATGGATGCTACAACAGACAGAGTTAGAAAGCAGATCCTTTGATGGTGCAAATCAGTACAACTTCAGATTCAGAGCTGGCCTTGTTCTTAGAATCAAGATCTGCCCCTTTGCCTCCAGCCTGGAGTAAAAACTGAACTGTGATGCTTGAACAGCTTCTTAGCCAGTGTCCTGAATGCCAGCCTACTCATGTCAGTATTTGGCTTTTAACATACTGTTGTTCCACATAGTAAATTAATTACATATCCTTCCTCCCAAAGGAGCTGACAGCATTGGTTTTCTGTATTTTCATATACATTGAGGGTCTATTTGTTTTTACCTGAACTGCAGATATTACTTCTGGCTGGATTTTTACACTTGATCCATTCAAAACCACAATTTGAATAAATGTGTTTGAGTTACCATGAAAGCCATGCTCCTCAAGTTATCCAAAAAAATTGACAAGCATCCAGGTAACATGGACAACATAATTCCCTCCAGCTGCCCCAAGCCATTCCCTCCCTTTGCCAGCTGCTCCTTCTTCAGTCATATAAACACAACTAAGTAAAAGGAGATACAACTGCAACTTTCAAAAGGAATTAAAAGCTAGGCTGCCTGCTACAGCTACCCAGTTCCTAGACCTAAGGGTTCTGACCAGATTAAAGTGCTCTTCATGATACATTAATGCAGCCTATATAATATTTGTAGAACTATGTTTTCTGTGTTGATAGAGATCTACTTGATTAAATGGAAATTAAGCCTCAGAAGGGTGATTTTCAATATACACATAGCACAGCCCCACACACCACAACAGCACACATACAAACAACTTTTTATAGCATGTTTTTATAGCAATATTTTTATACCAATACACTTGCTCTACCCCATATCTTGAGAGAAGGTCAGCGCAAAGTTGCCTTGTCCACAGAAGAATTAGATCAGCAAATACAACTCTGAAAGGAAAGAGAGGAGAAGAAGAGGTTCCCACACTATCTGCTTCAGTTATATAATAGTAAGTGCTGAATTTAAGGGAAGTCACTCTGGGTTCCCTCTATAGTTAGTAGCAGTGTAGAGGCCATGCTACAGGAAATGAGCAACAGGTACCAGACCTACAATGTACGTAGCAGATTTACTTCCATTTCAATATTAACTAAATTTATTTCTCTGGTCAAACCACCAAATCATTAAAAACAAGATTCCCATCATGATGCTTTAATCATTAGCATACTTAAGCTACTGAAGAAGCTTCCCTTGAATTATATATTGTGTAAGCTAATATCTTACTCTCACTAAAAAGTCAGATTCAACAAGCATATTTTTCATAAAGATAATTCCATTGTTGCCAAAGCCCATAATGAGATTTCCATTTCTCTTATTCCTTTAATCTGATTTTTAAAAGTCATTTAAAAAGCGAGTGTATCAAGAACTGCCAGATATATTTCTCTTTTATACCTATAAAATCCCACACTTTTCTAAAATATCTGATGGTCATTATTATGAACTAGCAAAACTAGTTCCTATGTGTTGTATATTATTTCAAGTATAAGAGACCCTGTACAAAACAGAATTCCATTTGGCTGCCATCTACTTCTTGTTAACCTACTCTGGGCAAAACCTCTGTATTGCAATTGGCAGCTCTCATCCCAGGACTCTGAACTACCTTTGCAGAAAGGTGGAAGCCTAGAGCACAATAAATTTCATTTAAATACTGGCTATCTGAAAAGCAGGCCTTCAGCTTAAGTTATGCAGGTAGACACCCTCTGTAATCAAGGAAGAAGCATAGGTACCTCCAGAGATGGGATCATTCTTCACTGTTTTTCTTTGCATGCATAAAGAGCCTATCTTTATCTTTTTATCTATAATTTATCTGTTTGCCTAAAAATTAAGTCTGTGGCTATACAGGAGTTGAATCCTGCCCTGCATTGTTAAGTACCAGGACTGATCAGAGTGATTTTTTTCACTTGCAGATTGGAAAACAACAATCATTGTTCCACTGGCTCTTCAAAACTGCTGCATCAGTGACTGGGTAGGGGTTTGGAGCTGTCTGTACCCATACAGCAAGGATTCCTCCAAGCCACCTTGCCTATACAAAGTCTAGCAATGTAAAGTGGGCAGCTGGTCCCCATAAACCTACATCACATTCTCAGCCTACTCAGAAGGGCTAGGAGCAGAAGAGGCATTGCCTGAAAACCACCTAAATCACCAAATACTTTCAGCCATGCAAATTTTACTCTGAGTTATGTCATACCAATGGCAGAAAAAACAGAAGAGGTCCCCGGTTGTTCACAGTACATACCAAGGTGTGGTAAAACAGAACTACTATCCATGAGACTGACACTACAATATGCCATGTGCAACCAAGCTATCAGATAACCTCGTCCTGACAACCTGAATGATTTCAGGAGAGACAAGGGAATACAGAAGAATGGACAGGAGGAGACATAAACATCTTGGATTGCAGCAGGAGTGCTGAATATAGGTAAAGCCTTATGAAATAAGGGCCTTGTTGCCCTTGTGAAACCATGGCTCAGGCCTGCTACTTCAGCCAAGTAGAAGAGGACCCTGGGAGAGTGACCCAGCTGGAATAGGGGTAAAGAGACATGAGAGACACCTGGCAGAGACTGCTGCATGTTCACATTGTGGTGTATGGTGGACTTGGGCTTGTTGCACCTTAAAACTATGTAAACTGATAACTGGCTAGCTGCTAGAAAACCTGGCTTTTGGAATAAATCACCATCTTCAGCATCAGCCTTGTGTCCACCATTAAAGGAGCAGTGTGTCAGTAGAACTGTTTCTTCATTGAACCTACACACACTAACACTCAGTGGTATTGATAGAGTTGGGGCAAAGAGAGCAAGAAAGTAGGTGGATTAAAAAAACATCAATTTCGTTTCATTCTGTTCATGGTCATAATAAGACAGCCTGGTTCTTTCATGCAACTCCAACACAATTAATTCTGTACTGAAGTGTTTTAGCTTTGCTATTTTTCTTCTCACAAGACGTCCTGGTTTTGGCAAAGACAGAATTAATGTTTTTCCCATTAGCCATGAGGCAGCAGAGTCTGGAGCCATGTGGACATGTCTAGGTTGTTTATTCTATACCACCTCACATCATCATTGGCAAGGAGAAGAAAGAGGCTCTTGCTCCCAAGGAGAAGGTGAGCATGGTTTGAGGTCAGGGGAAAGCATGGCAGACAGAGAGTCTGTCCGCCATTGTTTTCCATTGCCTCAGTCTTAGCGAGCATTTTTCATGTAAATCATCCTCTCTCTTTGTACACTTTTGTAATTATTGCTGCTACTGTTTTTTCCTTTTCTCATTGCTGCTTCCAGTAACTTGTCTTTTTCTTTTGTGCTTCCAACTGGAAGCAAGAGGGAAGCCAGTGCAATTTTGGTAAGTGCACTAAATTAGGGGATACCATTCCTAGACCACTACACAAGATCAATTTTAGTGTTCTGAGTACCCCAACCACACAGTAGCACAGCAATATGACAAATTGTTAGGATCATGGGATCCACAACCTCATAATCACAGCAAAAATAAAGATATTTAGCTCGACACTTTTACTACTATATCTCTGCACTCCTCGGGTCACTAGACAATCTCACATGCCAAATGGAGCTGCAGGCCTTGAATGTACAATGGTCCAGAGAACAGTGACAGAGATCAAGGGCAGTACACCCAAAGCAGCAGCAATACTTTAGGTTCCTGCATTGGTAGGAGCTTTGACACATGAAAATTCCCAGAACATTCAAGAAAGCAGGTCCCAGTCAACTTTTCAAAGCATAGCAAAAAAAATTAACAGTCAAGCAAAAAAACAAACACAGTAGTCACTAATCCCACCCAAGCGAGAAATTCTTCCTGACACTTGAATCTGGATACAGGTTTAAAACAGAACTTAAAGCAACAGTGAATTTTTTCCATTATTGTTAAGAACTGTTATTTTCATTTAATTTTGCCTATATTTACAGCAAGTATTCACAAATTTGTGACTTAAGCAGAATTAATAGTAGCTAAATACACATTTCAGAGAGGTGATACATGAGACAATCAGCTTTGGTGATAAGCTAAAGATATTTTCATGTTGTTATGCCGATATAAATACTTTGCACATATTAGTGCTGATTAGAAGACAAAGTCTTGAGCAATCTCTTTCAATATTCCCTGCCTGATAACCAATACCAAGTGCTCACACAGAGCCAGTATGACAGCATACAGATGGACTGCATGCTTCATAAGAGGAGGAGGCTTTGGCCACAGCAGACCCAACCAGTCCCTGATGATGAACACAAGCAGGCAGATGTTGGTCAATGAGCTGCGTGGTAACCATTCATAGCCATCCAGGTTAGAACACTGGGACTTTTGAACAGGGTATGTAAGAGCTGTGCCATTAAAGGTGTCTCTGCTGCATGAAACCCCAATGTTGTGTTGTCTCTCCATCTCCCCTAATTGTGACAAGCCATCAGACTATGAAAAGTAATAAGTAAAGGAAGAATTAATTTCTTTTAGATTCATGTAGCCTTTGTACAACTTTGTCAAAACAGGCAATCTGGACCAAGAAAATTATTACAGGCAATACATGGAAAAAAACCAAAATTCTCAAGAGGATGAAAAACTATTTCACTTGCAAACTTTAGAACATTCAGAGAGAATACTACTCACCTCACCAGTCTCCCATATTTTTGGGCAGATGGTAGTGTTCAGGAAGAAAACATACAGCCTTCATGTGTATTGTAAATGTTCTGGATTTGAAGACAGAAGACAAATCACCTTTTCTCAAGTCAAATCACTGTCACAAAAGAGGCCACCTCATCTCTGCAGGGACCAGATGGGGAGTTCCTAACCTGTCCAGGGTATCAGTCATTAATTACACTAGGAGAATACACAGGCACAGTCCTGACAGAATTGCAGTTTTAGAAGAGGCTTAAATTTCATCCAGATTTCAAAACTCTAATGAAAAGAGCATAGATTTTGCTACAACAGAAATGCTTTTTATAGAATGGTGACAAGGCATAGAAGAAGACACTAATTCAAACTTTGGCAGAGAAAAGTTCACCTCGTGCACTAATCACTTCACATACTCATGAATACCAACAGAAAAAGACAATGCTAGGACAAGATTCCAAGTAGACCTCATTAACTCATTACCTATAGACGAGAAAAGAAACAAATAATTTAAGGTAATAGCAAGATACTAACACTTCTACTGCTGCCTGTAGGAGCAGTAGCCCAGAACTGTGGAGTGCCCCTGCCCAAAGAGGTGGGATTTGATTTTGGGCAGGAAGTGTTAAGGTGAGGGGCATGGCTTTAAGTCCCAGGAGGAGTGGACTCCACCCCTCTGCCTTGGGGGATGTGCCCTATAAACCTGGGAAGAGTTACTCCACCCCCAAATCACTTATAAGATATCAGCCAAAAATGTTCTACCCTTCATAAGTTGCTAATGTATGCTGCATTTATTTTAATAGTCCCTCCTATTGTACCCCTATTAGGCTGTACCCCCAAGACTTCTCCTTTGCTGTATCCCTATTGGACCCAGACCCTAAACTCCACCCTTGCTATTATTCCCCACTGAACCCACCACCCTGCCTCTGTTTGGGGTTCTCCATCTCTGGTTTATGCTGGGTTAAATCCTGTGTTGGTGGCACCCCAGAAAATGGATTCCTGAGTTTAACCAAACAGAAATCTCTCTTTAATTTCTCACTTCAGTCACTGGTGGCTGCACCTCCCTGGACATGACTTGGTTGTGGCATGACACTACACAGATAGACTTTTGTGATCACACCTTATGGACTGATAGAAGTAACCATATTCTAAAGCCCAACCAGTGGTTACTGCTGTTGGGTTGCTTCCCTGTTCTGTATTACAGTTCAGTTTGTGAGCAGAAGTATATAACCTTTCCTATAATGCTTTCCTTAATTTCTCCTTCAATGCCAAAGCTACATTCTGCTGAAGGCATTCTAAAGTCAGTCAGACATATTTTACATTTTAGAGAGGGCAATCATGAAACATTTAAGGCTACAGTGTCAAATCTTCAAGTTCATTTCCTGTTTGCTTTGCTCTTTCTTCCACAAGAAGGGCATAGTATTTTAAAGCTGGCAAAGAAATTTTTATACTTCAGGTGCAAGAGAACAAGTCTGCAGCACATCAAAAAAGTATGTGTGGGAGGTTTGTATGTGGCACAGAAGAGAAAGAAATAAAATTTTCAGGAGAACTTCAGGGACTTCTGGGACATACTCGTTCAAATGCAACTCATTTTGATGGACAATAGGTTTGCAAAAAGTAATTATTTGATTTAAAAGGAGTGAAGCATCTAGTTCCCATTAACTTTTACAGGGCTTGAACACTTACCTCTTCTGCCCATCACTGAGCATCTACCCCAAATACCTAACAGCTGGAGGAGGTTTTGGTTGTTTTTTGGGGATGGGTTTTGGTTTTGATTTGGGGCAGAGGGCTATAGGGTTTTTAATAAGTGACTCAGTTTCTCTACTCCCTAAAAACTCCAACTAATTTTCCACAGTCTCCAAACAAGGAGCATGCATTTAAACTTGTTTATACAAGTACTTCTAAGCTTTAAGCTTACCCACAAAGGTTTGTAAGACAATATGTCCACAGCAGCATTTCCTTCCTTCTGTGTAAACCCCTCTCATTAAAGGATAATGAACACTGAGCTTGACAAAATCTATTATATAAGTCATCTTATATATAATAAATATAAATACCCAGTGTTACTTTAGTAACAATTTAAATAAATAATCACAGTTTAATTTAAGTAAATACACAATATTACTTTAACATATGCAACCCTAAAGGGGTTCTGGTGTTCTAAATATTCACTGTCACTATTAATTTGCATCCCCAGAGTTCAATCACTTTGCAGCTTGGCTTCCCTACCATTCTTCAAGCCCTGTCTCTAGAATCACATGAACAGGTGAAAAACACACCTCAGTACAACACGAGCTAGCCTTTTTGTCCTGCAAGTGTGTAACATAACAACAGGATCTACAAGCAATCGCACAATGCAGATATTGTTAAGGAGTAAGAGCCTTGGGAAACCACAACAAGCAAATAAGACAATGTTGAATAAAAGGTTAAATGTGTTTTTTTAAAAAAACACAGAGGAGGAAGAGACACTTTATTTATTTTATTTATTATTTTATTAGTCATTTTATTTTACCTTCACCCACCAAGAAAGTATTATAGGACATTATGTAAAACTAAGTTACTTTGTTTTCTTTGTTCGACATGTGATTTTCACCCTGCAGGTGAAATGGTAAATTAAAAGGAAAAGAAACTATGTGTTACTCACCTCTTTTTGAAACCTTGATTTCATAATTTCTTCCAGTTCTGTGCACGACTGACACAAGGACTCAGACTGGCAGGGAATCCAAATTGGTTATTCAAAAACCTGGTTTTACACACTTTCTCAAGGCACAGTATTTCCTTTTGTTCATGAGAGTTTCATGGTAATTCTCACTACATGACCTATCCCATGCTGCCATGTCAGCATCACGATTTCTCAATGTCCTTCTACGGGGAGATCACGCATTGTTCACCTGTCAGTCAGCTTCCAGCAGGTTCCTCTCTGCAGGGCTCTGCACTGACACCTCCTCACCCCAAGGTCAGGCAGAGACAAACTTCTTTGTGCTGCTACGTGCTTATGTGTGCTGCCATGTGCTTCTTTCTGCTGCTATGTGCTCCTTTGTGCTGCCATGTGCTTCTGCAGGTGTGTCCCACAGCCCACAGCTCAACTCCATCCCATCTCTTCCCACACAGTTCCACTTAAAAGCCTGAAAAATAAATTGACCCCACACTACGTACCAGCATTCTTCCAAAGATGGATCTATGTCTGGCTTTTATCACACTGAAATATGTCAAAGTGTTTTCAAAAGGTAAAGAAGAAAAAAAAAACAAACAAGAGGACGAGATTAAAAAAAAATACAAAACTGAATGGTGTCCTCTTCTTAAAATTAGTTTCTTGAAAAAAAAAAAATACCATGGGCAGCTATATTTGCTTCAACTAGTTTTTTCCATCTTTTAAATTCTTTTATTTTAAGATTGTGCAGGAACTGCTTACATCTACCAAACATTTGTGTTGTATTTTGCTGTGGAATACAACATAAAAAAGATGTGTAGCTACTTACAACAGGGCAGATGGCTGGACTGTTTTGGCAGCCTATGGAGTCCAGAGCTCGTCTGGCAAACAGGTTGCACAGGGATGTAGGGAATGACCTTGAAGTCATAGTAGTAAATAAATACCAGAAGTAAGTAGTGGTCACTATTTTATTACAGAACAGGAACGTTAGCCACTTAATTTTAAAAAACACTATTCTCAAAAGAGAAAAAAATAGGTGTTGGGGGAGTAAACTGGAGGAATATGGCCAACTCACTTGATGCAGGGAATAAGAGGCTATAATATGCAAGATTTTGAATGCTTTTATTGTTTAAACCACTTCTAGAACAAAGGTTCTGTTTTGAACATACTTCAGTCACAACTCTTTACATTGTCAATGCTGAATTTACGACCTGATTCCTTGTCCAGACATCTCTTCATCGAACCAATATCCCAGCTTTAAGTAGTGCTAATGTTGCTGTATCACTGCCAAAACTTTACCATCAACTTCCATCAATATGTATGGCCACCACTTTAGCATAGACCAATGCATAGACATCATTTATTTGGCTCACAAAAAGTAGATCTGTCAAGAGATCTGTCAAGACTTTGCCTCTCTCTAAACAGAACAGGTGAATCTGTTTGATTTTGTGAATCAGCAAACAGGAAAAATAACCATTAGTGCAGTAGCAAAGCATCAGCAGTTGTCAGTGGCTTGGTATATTTTATATAATGTGTGTTCATCTAGCAGAGTTTTCTGGTGTCCTTCATTCTGTCCTCAACAGTCATTTTAATCCCACAGGACAGTAACTGTTACAAAAGTATTGTTCAGTCCCCAGCACACAAAACAGCAACCACATTTGTGTGTATTGTAGACAACAAAATTCTTACCTATGATAACTAACTGGGATGAACAGCTTGGGGTAACTTCTGAGTCTGTCACTGGTTTTAGTGTCTGCAGAGTTTTACCCACTAACAATTGGCTTGCCATTCCTCAATCCCACCACACTGGGAAGGATCACAATGCCTCCTTTCTTCCTACACTCGCTCATTTTGCCTGTTTTCCATGCTTCCAGGAGCACTGTTGTATATCCTCTTATTACCTATCCTCTTCTTAGCTTCTTTCATGTCTTCGTCTTACACAATCTTGTCCTCACACTTCTTTCTACTTCACTGAAGTACCAAAAATCAAGGCTCTATGAAGAGTTTCTTTTCAGCCATTTTGTCCCATGTCTTCCCCTGACTAATTTGTTTCCCTCAATGAACAGAAACAGTCTCTGGAATGCAAGAATTCAGCTGCTTATCAAACAACAAAAGAAAATATAAAAGCAAGAAAATGACCTGGCTTTTATTTCAGGCCATTTCACAGATAGAAATCCCTAGCATCCAAATTTCAAGTTTTCAGTAGCTTTCTGCTCCCTGGTCAAAGTACTCACCAGCAGAGAAATGCTAATATCTAGTGATATGTTTCCTCCATATCACAGGCCTTCAGCAGAAAGTACTGTTATATACCTGGTATTGCACAGTAACCTCCAGTTATGACAATTTTTGTATAAAATGCTACAATTGCCCCCCAACCCCGATAAACCAATCCTTCATTGTAGTAGTTTAAGACTAAAGTTTCTTTGCAGCTCATCTTTAGCATCTGGAAAAGACATGCACATTTTTTTTTCGTAAATTCCCTTTCTTTTAAACGATCTCCATTTTTTGAGATTTGCAGTGGTGCACAATGGAAACAGAAACAGGTCCACCGAGTGTCTTACACCGAGCCTCAAATTCCATCAGCAACAGCCAGTCTGGAAAAAAACTTGAAAAATACAATGCTGTTTTCCATCACATAACACATAACTGTGGAAGAGCCTGCACTGACAGACACTTGAGCTTTATCAGTCAAGTCTACTGGACCCTAGGCCATTGAGATGAACTGTGTTTTAGCTATTGTAAAGCAGCTGAGCATTTGGAGGAAATTACTGAAGAACTGGTTCAGTTTTCTGTTTCATATGAACTGTGATGTTAGTTATACAGAAAAACAAAACAAAACAAACACCCCCCCCCCAAAAAAAAAAAAAAAAGATAAAATCTCTAAAATCAAGAACTTCTTTAAACATGGTGAGAACAAAGGGAGGATTATATAGATGCCTAGGTTGCCTTGCCCATTTTTTCTTTTTCACTACTAGAGTCATTGTTGTTGCTGTCGTTTCA